TAAAGGGTAAAATAGCTTACCTCGCTGGCTTGACGCTGCGAGCTGAATCCGCGATCTTCGGTAGCGAATGCGGGAGCCTCGGCGCCCTTGAATAGCACCTTCCAGGCATCTTCGTACGTAGTGTCGAAGAGCCTGCTCAGGGTTTGGTGCTGTGCCGGATCAAACTCCCACAAATTGAAGGCCCGTTGTTGGCACGGGAGGATCCGGCGGATGAGCATGACCTGGACTACATTGACGAGCTTGAGCTTCTTGTTCACAAGGTTCTGGACGCAGGTTTGGAGTCCGGTCAGCTCCTCCGAATTACCCCATGTCATGCCCTTCTCTTTCCAGGAGGTGAGCCATGTGGGGATGCCAGATCGGAATTCGGGGGCCGCTGCCCATTCAGGGTCACGCGGATCGGTGATGTAGAACCACCCCGATTGCCACCCTTTGATGGTTTCCACAAAGGAGCCCTCGAGCCATGTAACGTTGGGCATCTTGCCCACCATGGCGCCTCCGCACTCCGCCTGTTGGCCGCCCACCACCTTCGGCTTGACATTAAAGGTCTTCAGCCATAAGCCGAAGTGGGGCTTGATGCGGAGGAAGGCCTCGCACACGACGATAAACGCCGAGATGTTGAGGATGAAGTTCGGGGCCAGATCATGGAAATCCAGGCCGTAGTAGAACATGAGCCCCCGGACAAATGGGTGGAGTGGGAAGCCCAGTCCGCGGAGGAAATGGAGGAGGAACACCACCCTCTCATGGGGCCTGGGGGTGGGGACGAGCTGCCCCTCGTCTGGAAGCCGGTGCGCAATGTCGTTGTGCAGGTATCCGGCTTTCCTCAACTTTTTGATGCGCCCCTCCATGATGGAGGAGGCCATCCACTTGCCTCCCACTCCTGACATGGCCGGAGAAGGTTGAGGTGGGATGTGCGGACTTGGGCGCTGGAGCTCGAGTGCGCGGAGATGGATGAGCAAAGGAGGAAGAAGGCGTGTGTGAAAAAGTGGATCCTTATCCCCTTATATGGACGGACGAAGCTATGCGTCCCCACCAGCTTGGTAAAACTCGCTTATCTCTCAAGCGCCGTAATTGATGGCGCGGTTGGGTTACCCACGCCCGTATTGATGAGAATCCCGGAATCAGGGGACACGATCTTTGCTTCGACAAGACGTGCCAAGAAAACCGCCTCGCTAAACGCGCTGAGGTGGGACAGTAAAAATGATTCGAATAAAGGCTTGGCCGTGGTGTGATGTCACGCCGCGGAATACGTTAGCAGTTTGAATTTGTGTAAATATTATTCTCTCTACGGTGGTATGTGGAACTTATTTTGCAGAGCCGGACACTATCCTTGTGTTCAAAATCTTCTATGAAGTATTCGGATGATGATCCCGCCTTGCAATGCCGAAGACAATATGCGCGCCGGACTCGTCGTCATTGAAGCCTAGTTCAGGGGCTACTGATGGAGTCCAGGATTAGGGGTGTCCGGATAGCCAAACTATCACCTTTGGCCGGACTCCTGGACTATGAAGATACAAGATTGAAGACTTCGTCCCGTGTCCGAATGAGACTTTCTTTGGCGTGGAAGGCAAGCTTGGCGATACGGATATGTAGATCTCCTACCATTGTAACTGACTATGTGTAACCCTAACCCTCTTTGGTGCCTATATAAACCGGAGGGTCTTAGTCCGTAGGACGAACAACAATCATACCATAGGCTAGCTTCTAGGGTTTAGCCTCTCTGATCTCGTGGTAGATCTACTCTTGTACTACCCATATCATCAATATCAATCAAGCAGGAGTAGGGTTTTACCTCCATCAAGAGGGCCCGAACCTGGATAAAAACATCGTGTCCCTTGTCTCCTGTTACCATCCGTCTAGACGCATAGTTCGGGACCCCCTACCCGAGATCCGCCGGTTTTGACAACGACAACCTCCCTGGTGATGGACTTGATGCCGCTAGTACCGACGAATGCCATGCAATAGGACCCTATGTCATTCACCATGATTAGGTGGTTTTTCGCCGACGGCTTTAGCTCCCCGCCGTTCGAACTATGGCACCATACGGGGACATGCACGCTCGTCTACCCCACCAACGGAGATGTTGATACGGGTGATGTAGTTGAAGGTGTTAGTATGCAAGATGCGGGAGAACGGTGGCGTCACAAACGGGTTTGTTAGCGCCGCCAAGGGAAGAGAGGAGGATTCACTTAACCACATGGTGGCTGAGACGCAAGAAAACCATAAAGTGGCACGTATGGCTGATATGCCAATGTGAATACCATGTTGGCATATGCGTGACCTTGCTCGCACTAATTCATTCCATTTTACAATTTTACGGACCGAAGCGAGCCCATGCATCGTAGTTCATATCGTATCCTTTTTTGTGTGTGAATATGTTAGCTTGCAAAAGTATTTTATATAATGGGACGGAGCGAATACCAAATAAAGAGAATATTGAGCCCTAAGATAATGTAATAGTATTTCCTTGCAACTTTATCACTGAACATAAAAAATAAAATAAAATAAACATTACCACTGAACATGCAACGTTGATTTCCTATGTCACGTGTTTAAAAATAGGAATTTCCGACGGCATGCACGAGCGTCCATTTTTGTTCCGCGTAGCGAATAATCGGCTTCTTTTATTCCACGTACAGTAGCAAATAATCTGCTTCCTATAACGGTCCAAAACAGGAGAGCGTACTGCGAATCAACCTGTGGTTGAGTTGGTTAGGTGGACAGTGGTATCTTCAACCCATCAGGATTTAAATCCTGGTGCTCGCATTATTCCTGGATTTATTTCAGGATTTCCGGCGATGCGCTTTCAGTGGGAGGAGACGTTCCCGTCGACGACGAGGCGCCTACGGTGACTTCGTAAATCTTAATATGATATGCCGGCTCAGTCTCTCGGAGGTGCTCATGGATAGGATGTGCGTGTGTGCGTTCATAGGGATGAATGTATGCGCATGTATATGAGCGCTTATGTCTGTACTGATGCTAAAAAAACAGAAGAGCGTACCGTGTCAAAAAAAACATGCAACATTGATTTCCTACGCCGCGTGTTTTTTTAAGAAAAAAAGCATTTCCAACGGCAATGCCCTAGCGTTCATTTTTGTTCCGCGTAGCAAATAATCGGCTTCCCATTTTTGTTCCACGTAGCAAATATATAATCTGCTTCCTATAACGGTCCAAAACAAGGGAGCGCAAATGCAAAGGATGCAACTGACTAGATTCATATGGTGGGGGTTTTCCAGAACAATGTAGTACCTGACCTGGATATGGATAATCCTCCGATCCATTCAAAAGGCGCAGGTACTGAAAACGAATATGCTGCGTCGGTTCCTCTGGAACTCGGACATTGTTTTTTTAGATAAGGATAAGGAAGAAATCAAGAGTAGCACTTCGGAGTTCAGTAATATATATATTTTTTCCAAAAAATACTTATAGATCTATTATAAAAATTCACATAAAGCATTCGAAACATAATAAAAGATACATCGAGCACTGCCTCTGGCGTGTCGCTATCATCGCTCTCGTATCGGAGCCGATCTATTCTTGTCTGACGTTAACAGTGAAGTCTTCGTGCAAGCGCCGTTAAGGACCAACGCCTCCTAGTCATAGTCATCGCCGCTGAATTCTTGAATCGATTCAAAAGCTCTGACAACAAATCTTGTTGTCGTGTACGCACAACGAGAAATCTTAACCTCGTTGCCTTGAGTAGCTGGTAGAATCGACGTCGGAGCTCCGTCTAATCCGGCCTGACAGACGAACTTGAGGAGGATCGAACCCCGGAAGACCGACTCATAGAAGAAACGCCGACATCCGTCTGAGCGCCGCCCCACAAAGACTACAAGGTTAACCTATTTTGGTAACCTGAGTTTAAATTAAATTTTTTTTTACGAAAATGATCCAAATCTATTATCAAAGTTCAGCAGAAGTACAAAGCATCTCGAACATAATAAAATTACATTGAGATTCCAGGACCCCCCAACAACCACTACTGCTGTCAGAACGAGCCGTTGTCGCCGCTCTTCTATCGGAGCCGGCTTGACCTTGTCGAGGACAACCAGAAAGTCTTTGTGCACGTGCCCCTAAGGGCCAGCACCCTGGAGCCGCTTTCGTCGCCGTTGAACCCTTGCATATATCTGAAACACCTGACACCAACTCTCGCCACAAGATGTGAAAACTAACCTCACAGCCCCAAAGAGATGGTAGGAATCTACGCTAGAGCTCCGTCGACTACGTTCAGACGGACGAACTCGAGGAGGATCGAAGCCCGGAAGACAAACTCAAAGAAGTAGCGCCACCATCTGCCCGAGCACCGCACCTGCGAGGACTAAAATACCCTAGGCTAAACTACTAACCAGAGCGGAGACACTGGGATTCACCTCCCCGCCACCAGCCGCCGGAGCGGCAGGCGGAAGGGAGGTGAATCCATGGGCTCGCCGGCGAAGTTTGAAGGAGAGAGTTTGCCATAGCTGCCTAGGGTTATGGAAGAAAAACAAGGAGCCGGAGTTTTACTAAGAAAATAAAAATCAGAAGCAACATTGGAAATTTAAGAATACGGAAACTGTAGATCTATTTACGCTATTATGTATATTGTATAGCATGGTTTTATAATAAACATCGTGTAGTGTATGTCACATAGTCCAGTCACAAATGGACTTGCAAAGTATTTTTCTTAATCTAGAAGCATGGTCCTAAAATCGTCTATGTGTTATCCCGTGTTATTAGGATGCAGACAGGAGGAATTAAATCCATTTGAGCGCGTATGTAGAAAAAGAAGGCATTAAGTATTTTGGGCCTATATTTTTATATTGCTAAAAATACACAGGACGTATTAAATCAGTGCCAAATATTACACACGTCTCAACGTCAGCCGTTGGATCGAGGAAACCCACAGCATCCAACGGCGCAGGGCCCAGGGCGGGTCTATATAAACCCCCTGTGGCCACAGCCCTCTTCCCTAAAGCCACCACCACCGTCTTCCTCCCTTCCGTTACTCGCATCGGGAGGCGAGAATGGCACCGCACTCCCCCGCCGTGAAGCTCCAGTCCCGCGCCGCGCCGGCGCCGTCGTCGGCGATGGGCGCGCACCGGTGGTCCCGCCCCATCGCGAAGGGCCCGCCGCGCAAGATCAGGATCGTGCACGTCCTGGCGCCGGAGGTGATCAAGACGGACCCGCGGCACTTCCGCGAGCTCGTGCAGCGCCTCACCGGGAAGCCGAAAGGCGGCGCAGGGCCCTCCTCGCCGTCCTCGTCGTCGACGCCCGAGAGCGCCGCGGCGGAGTCGTCGTCCCAGCAGGCGGCGGCAGGCGGCTCGTCGTCCGTCGCGGTCGCCCCCGAGGCGGCGGCGGCGACCGTCAAGGCGGAGGTGAAGGAGGAGGAGGAGGACGGCGCGTCGCCGGAGGAAGGGCTCGGGCGCGCGTTCGGGGAGGCGGGGGGCACGACGACGAACGACGCCTTCTTCCAGGACCTCGACGAGTTCCTCCTCGGCGGATGGCTTTAGCCTCTGATCGGTCAGCGGCGCGCCCCCCATTAGAGCTAAGTCGGAGAATTTTTTGCCCCCTGCTGTTGTTGCGTAGGACGATGGTGACGGTTGGTTCGGTTGACAGAGAGATCCCCCATTTCGGCCTGGAATTTTAAGTTATAGAATTGGGTTTCCTGCGATCTGTTACTTCTCCAGTTTGTTGATATTTCAGTTATGTTATTCAAATTTGAATCCGCACATGGAAATGGCAGATTAGTTTGGTTGTTCCGACGGCATTGGGTGTCTGATTCCAACCTTCATTGTTTGCCATTTTTCTTCTCTTCTGGGTGAACTAGAGGGAGATGGAGAGAGGGAGAGGTAGGTGCGTGCTCTGAAGCCTGAACTGACGATGAAGGAAGACATGGCAAAATCGTCAGCCTGTCAGGAGTGGTTAGGTGCAGGACTAACAAACCTTGCGCTGCACCTGCACGCACGTACAGGATGATCGCAATGTCCACACGATATCTCGAAAATAAAAGACTTTCTCACGAGGAACTAAACATTCTTCAGTTCAGGTAGAGTGCCGTCTATGAGGAATGACGGCTTATACTATGATTATTACGTACTCCTGATGCAATCCAACAAGGGGAAGATTTTAGACACAATGGTCCTAGATCACCGGCCCAAAATTGCAGTACAACGGCCACATGATCCACATTTCTACCTCCTGCTGGATGTTTGTATTTGAGATCATATACCGAGCTAACTTACTTTGGTGTCATTTGCACCGATGCGAAGCTGGCTGCTGGAATTATATAGAACAAAACAAATTACAGTTCAGAGTTATTTACTGCCCATTTCGCACAGCTAATTTTTCATCGCATCTGACTGCTCGAGTATTGCTCAACTCCAGGATATAGCAGTAACTACTCTAGCCAGCAGCAAAAAGGAGCTTGAGTTTACACACTCAAGTGACTGCTAACATATGCACTACTTTCTCATGTATGCGAAAACCTGGAAAATGGCAAGACAGAAAAGACATCTCCGAAAAAGTTAACCATAATGCTCCGGTTAGTGCCCAAACACTAGCTTTGATATTCCGGAATCACTACATCGGGCGTGTTCTCCATTGGGTTTGGTTGCGGCCCTTCCAGTTTTGTCAGGACATCAGGTGCTCCAGCAGCATCTCGGATTATCTAAATGAGAAGACAGAACAACCATGAGAAGTTGTGGCTTTTCGATCCTTCCAAAATACTGTATTAGTAGGACGGATAATACGAGATTTCAAACCATTCATTCTGCCTTTGTGGAACATGATTAAATTGATTTGTCTAAAAGAGAGGATCGAAAGGACGCTACTGTATTGGTAGGCTGATTAGATTATCAGCATCTTAAACTTGCAAATGACGTTGATATATGCCATAAATCTGGCTTCTTATCGATGATTTTTAACAACAACAAAAACTGACAAATATGTGCATTTTTTTGTTCTGGTCTTGCTTACGGGATGCTCAACATTCTCAAGAAGATACCATGGACTGGTACTTCAGCGGATTAAGAGCCTTCATTTCAACTGTCTAGATAAAATGATGATGCTAAATCTGTGCAGCATTCAAACTCAGTACGTCATCAGCTTTTATTTTCTCTGACATTTATGTGTTTATGAGCTAAGTATAGAATCAGGTATATTTTCTCTAAAAGAACTAGGTATAGTCCAGTAATTATGTCCAACACGTGACACTTAAGACATATGGTACAACTCAAGCGTGGAAGCTATAAAAGTACTGATTCCATCTTTTGTGTTAGTTCATACAGTAGATAAAACCAAGGGGTTACTTCCAAGATGGATGGTGGATGCCATATGGTCACAGTGTAATGTACACAGGTACAAATGCATGTTATCACGATATGATTTTGGTGTTCGCTTTAGTGTGTGATAAACTGATAAACATACCAGTATTTCTTCATCAAGGTAGGAAATCATGAATAAGCGCTGGTACATCCCATCTGTAATAAAAAAAGGGGCCATGCAACGGAACTAATCAATCCATGTAACATACTCATGACAATTATTAAAGATTAATGACATCACAGAATGAAAAATAGCATAACTATATTGAACCATCCTGTGATGGTGCACTAAATACTGCAGGTAGACAAAAGTATTGCAGATGGACAACATGGATAGAGAGAACTAGCTACCGTGATGTCATGAATACTGTGAGCATTCCTCTCTTGTCATGGTTGGAAGTCAAATTTCGGAAGAAACAAAAGGCAGCATTCCAATAATTTAATATTTTGGCAAAAGATATCAGTGATTACAAATGCATTGAAGCAAGCAGGAGTTTCTTTTAACAAGAAAGGTCAGTAATAAATCCTGCAGTTGTGTTGTCTGAATTCGCAGTATGTCCTAATAAAACTGGAAAAGTGATGCAATAACAAGAAGTCTATAAATCAAGCCTTATGTACTTACTAAGAGGTAACGTAACCCCCTCCGAAACAGCATCCCTTATAGAGGCAGGAAGTTGTTGTAGAGCCCCTGCAGTTTGTCCAATTAAGCCCTTCAGTTGTTCAGGCAGCGTTTCTTCACTGATTTTGGGGGTTTCCAAAAATCCCTCAACGTATTCCTCCTTCATCCTGATAGGCCCCTCCACAGACAGCTGAGTAGTCAGAACAAATCTGTTTTGTATCTGCAAACATAAAAAAGCAGTAAACTGTGAGGCCTGGAACAACAGAACTCAACATGGTCATATACAAATATATAGCTACTCCCTCCGTCCGGAAATACTTGTCAATGAAATGGATGTATGTAGACATGTTTTACTTTTAGATACATCCATTTTTATTCATTTCGGCGACAAGTAATTCCGGACGGAGGGAGTACTGGATAAGACAGATAAATGGCTGCCAGTAATGCCTTAGTATGAACTTGGGATCTTGTCAGATTACAAGAGCTACAGGTCATAAAGGAAGACACACACTGTAATTTCATTTTGAAAAAATAAAATTAGATGTGCATGCTGTAGGGAGGTACATAAATGGCACAAACATTGGAAACATGAGGTAGTTGCAAAGATAGACCCAAAAACGCACAAAAGTTGTAGGAGACTTTTCACAACTTCTGAAATTACCGTATTAAAGAGCTTGACGTTTGAGGAAATTTTGCAGTAGCCATCCCTGATCACCACATCAAGCCCCGTAAAGTGTGCGACACTTGTAGGTGACCTCCTGTGAAAAGAGCATACTTGCTATATGATACACATTTTGTCAAAGGAAGATAAATTTAGATGTATGTATCTGCAACACAGCATTTAATGATAAATTTTAACAGACTACGTAACTCAACTCTCATGAGAACAAAGTAAGGGGAGCTCTGATTAAAATGGTGAGTTCATTGTAATGTAACTTGCATCCAGAAATAGTGGCGTACTCAAACAAAAGCTTGGATGCAAATGATCCAGGACTGCTATCACCGAACCATTCAATGTTCCATCGACCTTCCAGGTAGGGCGATCTGAAAAGTGGAACATATGATTAATGAGCAAGGACCAACAAAATGTCCAATGTCTTAGTCAGAAATGATGGGAGTTCCTCATGGATATGGGACATGTAAATGCGGAGATGAATGGAAGTCATTGGTTCCTAAACTGAACATCATGTTAGCACCTTCAACTTATTTTGATGATAGTTTGCTTGTTGAGAACTGCAGCGCTTACGTTGTGGGACGAGGAGTGGGGTTGAGGCGTTCGAGGCCGACGATGCGCTCATTGACGTCGATCTTCTGCATCTCCGTGGTCTTGCCGCTCACAAAGGATTCGAAGCCTCCAGAGTCCCTGAACTGAAATGGGCAGCAGTTTACATACTCAAACCGTGAATGCAGAACCCAAGTGTCAACATGCAGACACAAACACTGATAAGCTCATTATTCGGCGGGCTCTGCAAAATCGAGGCGTTTACTCGTCAATCAAATCGAAAGCGGTGCAAAAAATGAGTGCCGCTGAGCACAATTGGCATATTGAGAGATTAATCGACAGATGCACTGGGCAGTGGATACGATTCGTATGGACCAGCACGGCAGTACGGGGCAGGCCGTGGCCATTCATTCTGCGAGGAAGGGGAACAGGAGAGGGGCAGGGGAAGGCTCACGGCGAGGAGCAGGGACTCCTTGGCGGAGAGGCGCTCCATCTCGCGGGCGTAGCTGGCGGCGGGGCCGCCCTGGAACTGCGCCGTCGCCCTGCAGCGGCACCCGGCGGCGCGGCGGGGCGTGAGGCGCAGCCGGCCGTCGCGGCGGACGCAGACGGAGGGCAGCAGCGGAGGGGAGGCCGGGGCGAGCGTCGCTGCGGCGGCGGCGGCCATGCCGGAGGAGGCGACTTTGCCGTTCGTGAGCCGAGGGGAGGAGAGGAGAGCTCGAGATGTCGTCGTGGTGCTGGAAGCGCTGTGCTGTATAGGCCAGTCCACGTAGAAAGGAGAGAGAAATAACCGTCGTAGGAGTAACTGGCCCCACGTGTCATTGACACTACTGGTGTACATACACTACTTCAAAAGTCAAACTTTTTATGTTTGACCAAGTTCATATATAGATCTACAATAACCATTAAATAAAATTTGAAAACATATTTTTTATGATGAATTTGTATGGTAGAGTTTGCTGTTTTTCTCAATAAAAACTTGATCAAACATTGAGAAGTTATAGACCTGGAAAAAAATGCTCAAAAAGTAATCCTTATATTTTGGAATTTTGGTGTATTATGTAGCATCATAGAACAAAAACTGAGTATTAACAGAGAAATCAGCGATCCACCTGCTGTCAACACAACTGGATAATCACCACGGACTGTGAAGCAACCGCCGAATAAAATGCAAGGAGAAAACTCAAAAGGTGACTAACTACACTGGGATGACAGCAAGAAAGTTCTGAAGCACATTTCATTCAAAAAAGCTGAATCTAAATCACAATCCATAGAACCAAAATACAACAGGCCTAATCACCTAGAGCCAACAGCAAGGGACAACAGAATAGTCACAGTAGCAGCACAAGAACGAGCGAGGATCCACCACAGCAGCGGGGTCATCAGACGGCGGCACCCTTCCGCTGCTCGGTCTCGCCATGGGCGAAGTGGCAGCGCTCGCCGAAAGTGCAGGTGCCCTTGAGGAAGTTCTCGCATATCTTGGTCTTGTAGTTGCTCCTGCCTCCAGGACCACCGCCACCGCCGCCGCCTCGGCCTGCTGGGGCCGCTGTGCCGGCAGGGTTCTTCGACGGCGTGCTGGCGCTGATGCTGGCAATGAGATCACGCACCATGTCGTTGGCTTGCTTTATCTGGTCGAAACTGCCTTCCAGCTCAATGTTCTTCAGGTCTGGGTTTGATTCGTGGTCGCGTATCGAGAGCTTGACCCCCGTGATGCGGCAGATCTGCTTCGTGTTGACCCCGCCCTTCCCGATTATGCCTCCGGCGAGAGCGGCGTCAACACTGACCTTGCAGGTAGACGAGGCGCCGAAGTTTCCGGCTGGAGGGCCCATTGAAGCTGGCGGAGGTGGTTCGTGTCGACCTCCATATCGACCACCCATAGGAGGAGCATAGGAACTTTCCTGGGACATGTAGGAGGATGGTGGCCTGCCAAGCTCCCTCTCGCCGTGGGCGAAATGGCACTTGTCACCAAACTTGCAGCCTTCTGCAGTGTTGTACTTGGTGCACATGCGTGTTTTGACACCAGAAGCAGCATGATCCGCAGGAGCTCTTGACGCTGCAGACACAGCAGCATGGCCTAGGCTGTGTGATTTTGATACTGCCTGGTATCCACCAGGGACAAAGTGCGCGAAGTGACAGCCCTCACCAAAGGGGCACCCAACAGTGCTGCATCATTCAAAACAATACAGATTATGTACTGATCTTGCAATAACAAATATAGTAAGTAATGATAGCTAAACAAGCAATGAAAACTGAGTGAACTTAGAGACTTGTTACGAAGGACAGTTGTAGAGCTGTATGCCAAGACAGAAGAGTTCTCATAACAAGATAACAAGTGCTACCAAAGGCAGAAGATCACATGTATTACATGTTTATCAGTGCAAATGGCCCAAATTGACATAATAACAGAAACATAATTGTGAAGTTGCATGAAATCCTGTCTAACAATTTTTAGTACTATATAGGAATCCAGGAAGGTGCAAGATTCAACCAAGATCCACAGAGACCACAATACTGCATATAGCATATGTACATGTATGTGCTTAAAAGGATGCTTTCATTACTCAACATAACTAAACCATGTTAGTGCAGACTCAATTACCAAATAATAGAGAAAGAGAAGGCCCTATCTAGAGAACAAAAAAATATGCAACAAATGTGGATTGAGGTACTGTTATTATCTTATTTATTTGAACGCTATGAAAGAAAAATATTAAATGTATCTACTTCCATCAGTTGGCAACATTGCTGTGCATGAATTACAATTTGCAACAATTCGTAAAGCTTCTGCACCAAAAAATAAAAGTAGCAGGGGAGTATTTAATTCTTAACTGTATATACACAGTAAAAATTAGAAGGTACCGTTCTGATGTTATTTTGGATAGGTTAAGATTTGAACCTGAAAAACTTGGTGCAAGGCTTCGATTTGCTTGATAGGCCAGTTTGTTGTGACTCCGATTCTGTTGCATGAAATTAATTACATTTTTCCACTTGTTAGAATTTGCATTGTTGATCTTCTATTCAAGTAAACATATACAATTTGTGTCCAATAAATGTGATGAATGAACATAATTTTAGATAAGATAAAGATGATATTCAATGGTGCTTATCCTGCAGAAAATGGTCATGGTTATACTCAACTCACTGCATATTGTTGAAAGATGATAACTAGAAATAGATCATATAACATTCATGAATGATGTTTAACATGTGTTGCCATGTTTCTTTTTTTGTAATGGAGTCCTCCAATTCCATTTTGAGCAAAAGCAGGTGCTTCGCTTTTCCAAATTTGTTTCCCATCACCATCACCTTTCCCACATGTTCTTTCCTTCTTTTCAAAGAAACCTCACCTTGATCCAACTTTTTAGTACGTCCTGCTCTTAGATGAGTTGGTTCAGACTTCAATTGTGAAGCTATTTTTCTGTACTTGCTAGGTATTTCATTACGGTACCAGACACGATGCACGTGGGTCTTAATTCCACTCCACTGCAAGGAGCTGTACCGGGGCGAAGAGGGCATCCGATGGATACGACATGATTATCAACCTACCGCGGGGATTTTCCGACACTACAGCATGGATACTTCCGCGCATGAATACTGTCAAGCAAGATGCAGTCGAATCTTATCTTATACAGGTGCGAACGGCACGGCACGCTCACTCGCTCCACGCTCGCGGACCGGAACCTAGAGACATCCTTGAGAGCGCCGAGGCTGCAGATCCAGCGGCAGGAGGCACACGACAGGACGAGACCCAACGACGAGACATATAGAAAGCATATGCGGGGGGCGGGGAGAGACGGGAAAGCGAGGCGTTACCTCTCGAGCGCTTCCCGCCTGCGGAGCCTCCGTTGGCGGACTCCGGCCGGGATCTCTTGCGGGCGGCGGCATCCATGGCGAGCCCTCCGCGTCGAGGCGGAAACCCTAGCTTGCGGTTTGGCGGAGGCGGAGTGGGGCGCAGCGGAGGGAGGAAGAGGCCAAGTGCGAAATCGCTTCGGTCGAGTTAACGGCCAGAGTCGTGGGTGTGCAGGTGCTCTTACGGTGGCTGGGCTTTATTAGCCCAGGTTTTGGGGCTCGGCCCTCGAAGGATTGGGGCTCCGTACTCCCCGACGGGAATTCGCATTCCGGCCCAGTTATGTAGACGCTTCTGTCACCCAAATCAGCTACACTTTCTCAACAACAAAAAAAAAAAAACCAAATCGACTACACTTTCTCAACCCCTCAAAAAAAAAGGCTATGTTTTCTCAAAAAAAAATCGACTACATGGCATCAATCTCTCTCCTCCGCCCCTCTAAAAAAAAACTACACGGCATCAATCTGAGCTCGATTTTCTCAACAAAAAAAGTGAACAATCTCAGCTTGAGGAGGCAAAGATATTTTTGTTAGAGAGCGGGCTTTATTAAAATCTCAAAGTTTGTAGGCATACATTTTCTAAAAGAAAAGTTCATAGGCATACAAATGATATGAGGTAAAGTAGAAAGCCTGCCTTTTGGAAGCGAGCTCTCAGCTACATGCAAGCCTGTTTTGAGATTTTCGTGCAAGTGTCAATTGAAGATCGTCAAGAAATTTGTTTACAAATCTTGACGTGCTCAAAGGGCTTTGGGACCCATCATCATGTATTGCGCAACTCCTTGCCCACCAAATAGCCTGTAGTGTAACAAGTACCAGTACCCGAGCAAGTTCATCGTGATTGAACATATCAAAGAGCCAGAATAGCCAAAGTATTGCATCTATAGTATGGTTTGAAATGGCAAGTTCAGGTAGCCCCTCATCATTTAAGACCCAAACACAACGAGCCATTTGATAGTCCTTCAAAAAAAGCCTCAATGACACTTATGAAGAAGCAATATCATTGAACAATTTTCATGGCTTGTGGTTGTTTATGAACTGTGAATACATTGTTTGTTTTTTTGTAACAAGTTTGCATCTTAACTTGTCGTCGTGTATTGAGAAGATCCCTTTTCTAAATCAACATTTATCCAGTTTTTCCTTCAATGCATGCAAAGATAAACCGAGATGCTAACGAAATAAATATGATGCTAAATGTGTTTCCCCTGTGAAGGATCTCATATTCTCATTTGTTTCCCCACATTAATCTGATTCATCTATGTTTCACTTGATATTTTCCATGAGTCCCAGTGGCAAGTCATTTAAATCTATGTATTACACATGCAATTATTGTTGGCAGCTTATATGGTTGAATTTATCTGGGATTTTAGGCGCCAAGCCAGTCAGCTTTATCACATGGAATTAATGCATGTCTTGTGAGTTGAGTTGCTCAGGTATCATGAGTTATCAGTTGTTTCTCACTGTTAATCTATAGTTTCTATACTTCTACACTTCTTGAGTAAAAGTTTAAATCAAACCTAGGCTTGGTGTCTCCTAAAACAAACTTAGCTTTGCAAGCGCAAAAATGTGTTCAATGTCACCAAAATGCTATGGTGAAAAACGGCCTCGGTCTTCCTTCTATGGTCGGTTGAGGACCACGTTGTAGCATGTCGGGGTGTAGGGGTACTCGAAGTCGATTTCCTTCACCTCCGTCGTCTTAGAGAACTAGTCTCCCACAGGGAATTCTATTGGACGCACATTGTGTCAAATTGTTGCCATTTCGCACATAGCTAGCAATTCCTTTTATGGGCCAGCTCATTTAAAAGGTTCCTAACCAGTTCAGTCCGACGTTTCTCATTTTTACCTTTTCTTGTTGTTTCTTTTACTGCTTTTTGTTTCCTTTTTCTTCCTTTTTCCAAAAAGTTTCATTTTTAAAAAATGTCTCAATTAAAAATATTGTTTGTGTTTTTATATTTTATTCAGAAATTCAAAAGATGTTTGGAACTTTTTAGAAAATATATGGTAGTGTGAAAAAATGTTTGTGTTTTCAAAATTGTTTGGAATTTAAAAAATACACATGTTTTCAAAATTTGTCATAGATTAAAAATATACAGAATTTTTATAGTGTGTTCACATTTTCAGAAAATGTTTGGAAATTTCAAAAATTGTTTGCATTTTCAAAAAGTATTTGCTATTATACCAATATATTCACATTTTTGAAAAGTTTGAAATAAACCAAAGCATTCAAAAAATAGCCGACGATAGAGATGGACGTCCAAAGGCGATGATGCAAATCAATCACCTTTGGGGAGGCTCAACTATAAACCATGAGCAGAAGTCAAGGGGGTTACTTGTGAAGCATTGAGGGCTCCCACGGCAAGGTTGCGTAAGATCGACAACCCCATCACCTTCAACGAGAAAGATTACTCAACAGGTTTTCCCTACCCCGGACAGTTACCATTGGTGCTCTTACCCATCATCGGAAGCATAAAGGTCCATAGGGTGCTCGTCAATGGAGGGAGCTCTCTAAGCATCATCACCACAAAGACGCTGGATCAAATACAGAGCCTGAGGGAGGAGCTCGAGCAAAGTTTGAAGACATTCCATGGGGTCAACCCAGGGCTGACATATGCATGTATCACGCGGATCACACTACTGGTGGTCTTCGTCTAAGGGGGGCTCCTGATGAGAAGTTTGCACTTCCGAAGTTCTACAACGCCCTCCTAGAATGACTGCTCGTGGCGCAGTTCATGGCGATCCCAAACTACAACTACTTGATGATAAAATTACCGGGAACATGGGGAGTGATCACAATGACAACCTCCCTGGAACACGCGCTGGAATGTGACCGCCTCAACCCCAAACTATGGAAGGTCATCATAAATTAGAATAAATACCAACTAGACGCCCACAACCATCAAACATGATTTAGGCGAAGGCGATCCACCTAAGCCTCATGCGGTGCAGGAGGAATGAAAATAGGAACCAAGGTAAAATGCGAGCCGAGCAACCTGCGTGAGTCCATGAACTAACAGGCAGCTCGAACCCGGGGCTTAATGTCGTGGTACTAAGTCTGACAGTAAGAGTAAGGGGTACGTATGAGGAGGCAAGGCCCTAGCTACGGCGAGGTTGTACACACGAGTTTACAAGTTCAGGCCCCTCTCGGAGGAGGTAAAAGCCCTACGTCTCGGTGCCCTGAGGCGGTCGATTGGAATATGGGTGTGTGTTACAAGGGGGTGCGAACCCTTGTCCCAGAGGAGGGGGTGGCTTATATAGAGTGCGCCAGGACCCCAACCATCCCCCGTTACAGGGTTCAATGTACATTAAGACAGGGCCTTACGGGTAACGCCAGCTATGAAGTGCTATTAATGATCTTTAAGACTACGGAATGAACGCCTGAACGTTGCCATCCTGAGTGACTCTAGGTCTTCTGTACTTCGAGTGGTTTCCTGTATGGTCGAATGACTTCGTCCAGGTCGAGTGAAATTGGGGATATCCGAGTGAGATGACTGGTCGAGTGGATTGTACTCAATGGCTTCAGGCGGTGATTCTTGCTATACTTTGAATGTCCTTGATTCTAGGGTAGTGGCCTTGGGTAGGGCGTATAGGTCAGGCCTATGACCCTACCTTAGGTTAATGGCATCATCATTAGCCCCCGAATGGATTGAGGCCCGAGTGAAAAGCGAGTTGAAGTTGACCCTGTCTTGACTCTTATGCTTCACAAGCACTCTTGTTGAGCTCAAGGTTCATGACGAAACTTCGACTTCATTTCAGTCGCCTTGATCGATTCAGAGGTCGTCGAGTGAACTTATGCTGACAATCTTCGAGTGTTGTTATGGTGTGAAATCTTCGGCGCGATTGGTTACTGCGGTTCCCGGATCTCACGGGATTCGAAAATTTGGGGAAGCGCGCAAGGCGGAGCACGCCGCAGTAAACGGGATGGATAGACATGGATGCCTTGATTTCCGCACCATCTTTTTCGCCATGTATCCGGTGCGCGACTGTTGCGGGATTTGACAGGATCGCTCAGGCCCACGCGTCAGCCACTTGGAAGTAGGCCCATAAAATGCGTCGAAGCCGATGCATTTGCACAGTGTGCTCCCATTCCCCTTCTTCTTCCTCTGCTTCTCCATCGTGTCCTCTTTCGCCCTCTACGCTGCCGCTTCGCCCATGCGCAGCTCGCGACAATGGTGAAGGACAAGACAACGGCACTGAAGCGCGTGAAGAAAGCGACAGTGACGGCGAAGGGCAAGAAAACGAGTCAGGGATCGTCGTCGAGGTCCGGGTTGCCGCCTGGTTGGATCCAGGGGGACTGGATCCGATCAACGCTCCGGCCAGAGGATCTGGAAGATCTGGCCTCCACGGGCTTGATCGCCTCCGGGACTTCGAGGCTGCCGGGGGACGAGATAGAGCCTCAGCCGCAGGCGGGTGAGTGCGTCCTCCTTGCCACCCATGTCGACCGTGGTTTCTCCCTTCCCCCGCATCCTTCCTTCCGGGGTTTTCTGAACTTTTTCGGTGCTCGGCTTCACCATTCCTCTCCCAACACCATCACATACCTTGCTGCATTCGTTTCTATGTGTGAAAACTTCCTGGGCTGTAGACCGCACTTGGGTCTCTTCAAACATATTTTCATAGCTCGTTCTCAAACCGTGAAGAAGGCAAATCCGACTGACGAGAGGACGCACGTGATTCAGATGTGGGGGGTTTAGGGATTCATATGAGGAAGAGGAGCACTTTTCCCCCTCCGACCCTTCCTGAGTCGGTTAGGGGCTGGCAGTCGACCTGGTTCTACTGCCAGGACATTCCGACCCCCGGTCAGTCGACCGGTCTTCCTCCCTTTACCCTAGATCGAGTCCAGCAACCTTCTTCACTGACTGTGACCACAGCGGAGAAGGTAGAGACAAACATGTTAGTTGAGAGGGTAGTTCAGTTGGTCCGTCAGGACGTAACTAGCATGGATTTATTGGAAGTGTTTCTCAGTCGATGCATCCAGCTGCTCCAAGCCCATGATCATTCAATGTGGATGTACTCGGGCTCCAATGACACTGCTCGGGTCCACCCAGAGGA